CCCGGTCTCCTCCCCCCCCACCTGAGCCTGAGCCCGGTCTCCTCCCCCCCACCTGAGCCTGGTCTCCTCCCACCCCACCTGAGCCTGAGCCTGGTCTCCTCCCCCCCCACCTGAGCCTGGTCTCCTCCCCCCCCACCTGAGCCTGAGCCCGGTCTCCCCCCCCACCTGAGCCCGGTCTCCCCCCCCCACCTGAGCCTGAGCCCGGTCTCCTCCCCCCCACCTGAGCCTGAGCCCGGTCTCCCCCCCACCTGAGCCTGGTCTCCTCTCCCCCACCTGAGCCTGAGCCCGGTCTCCTCCCCCCCCCCCCCCCCCCCACCTGAGCCTGAGCCCGGTCTCCCCCCCCCACCTGAGCCTGAGCCCGGTCTCCTCCCCCCCACCTGAGCCTGGTCTCCTCCCCCCCACCTGAGCCTGGTCTCCTCCCCCCCACCTGAGCCTGAGCCCGGTCTCCTCCCACCCCACCTGAGCCTGAGCCTGGTCTCCTCTCCCCCCACCTGAGCCCAGTCTCCTCCACCCCAACTGAGCCTTGGGCTGTCAGACGCAACGGACGGGAGGAGGGTGGATTTGTAGAAGAAGCTGGGTGGGGGGGTCATTTGTTGGCCATATTCCTCAGAGCAGTGCCCCCCCATGCTATTTATTACCACCCCCCAGGGTTCAGTATTGAAGTTCATGGACCCCCCCCTCCGGGTGATCTCGGGGGGGGGGGGGTCTGTCTCATCACTACTGGTGATCCCGCCATGGAGGTCCTTGTTGAGGCTCTTCCTGCTGTAGGGTGACAACCCCAACCCCCATCCCCCATTTATGCTGCTGCGTTGTCACCCAGCCAGCAGCCTGAGGGGGAGGTGATTGGCCAGAGACAGGAGCAGGGGGAGAGGAACCCAGGAACACCCACCGCCCGGGGTGCAGGAGGGAGGGTGAGAGTTGTAGTTCTACATCACAGCTGTGAGAGCACATTGACTGCAGCCAGAGGAGTGAGACCTCCTACTGGGGAGGGGGGAGGGAGACATCTCCACAGGGACCCCCCCATCCCTCCCCCCTCCTCCATTATGGAGTCTCCTCGTCCAGACAGGCGCCTCTGGGCCAAACCGCGCTAATTCCATTACAAGATGGCAGCTCCTCGCCGTCAGATTAACCCCTTCCTGGGTGTGACTGCGCTCCCCCCCCATCCATCCACCCTCATCCATCCACCCTTCCATTCCTCCATCCCTCCCCCCTCATCCATCCACCCTTCCATTCCTCCATCCATCCCCCCTCATCCCTCCCCCCTCATCCATCCACCCTCCATCCCTCCATTCCACCCTTCCCTCCATCCCTCCCCATCCATCCCCTTCCATTCCCATCCCTCCCCCCCCCTCATCCATCCATCCACCCTTCCATTCCTCCATCCCTCCCCCTCATCCTCATCCCTCATCATCCATCCACCCTTCCATCCTCCATCCCTCCCCCCTCATCCTCCCCCCATCATCCTCCATCCACCCCTTCCCCCCTCATCCATCCACCCTTCCATTCCTCCCCCCCCCCTCATCCCCATCCCATCCCCCCTTCCATTCCTCCATCCCTCCCCCCTCATCCATCCACCCTTCCATTCCTCCATCCCTCCCCCCTCCATCCATCCCCCTTCCATTCCCCCATCCCCCCCCCCCATCCATCCCTCCCCCCTCATCCATCCACCCTCCCATCCTCCCATCCCCCTCCCCCCTCATCCATCCATCCACCCTTCCATTCCTCCATCCCTCCCCCCTCATCCATCCACCCTTCCATTCCTCCATCCATCCCCCCCATCCCCCCCCTCCCCATCCATCCCTCCCCTTCCATTCCTCCATCCCTCCCCCCCCTCATCCATCCACCCTTCCATTCCTCCATCCATCCCCCCATCCCCCTCATCCCTCCCCTCATCCCTCATCCATCCCTTCCATTCCTCCATCCCTCCCCCCTCATCCATCCACCCTTCCATTCCTCCATCCCTCCCTCCCCCCCCTCCCCCCTCCATTCCATCCATCCCTTCCATTCCATCCCTCCATCCCTCCCCCCTCATCCATCCCCCTTCCATTCCTCCATCCCCTCCCCCCATCCATCCCCCCATCCATCCATCCATTCCATTCCTCCATCCCCCTCCCCCCCCTCATCCATCCACCCTTCCATTCCTCCATCCATCCCCCCTCATCCCTCCCCCCCATCCATCCATCCATCCCTCCCCCCTCATCCCCTCCATCCATCCCCCCCTCCCCCTCCCCCCTCATCCATCCCCCCCTCATCCATCCACCCCCCCCCTCCCCCCCCCATCCATCCCCCTCCATTCCTCCATCCATCCCCCCTCATCCCTCCCCCCTCATCCATCCACCCTTCCATTCCTCCATCCCTCCCCCCTCATCCCCCCTCATCCCCCCCTCCACCCCCATTCCATTCCTCCATCCCTCCCCCCCCCTCATCCATCCTCCCCCCTCATCCATCCATCCACCCTTCCATTCCTCCATCCCTCCCCCCTCATCCATCTCCCCCTCCATCCACCTCATCCCTTCATCCATCCTCCATCCCTCCATCCCCTCATCCCCCCCCTCATCCACCCTTCCATTCCTCCATCCATCCCCCCTCCCTCCATCCATCCACCCTTCCATTCCTTCATCCATCCCCCCTCCCATCCCCCTCCCCCCCATCCCTCCCCCCTCATCCCTCCATCCCATCCCCCCTCATCCCCCCCTCCATTCCTTCATCCCTCCACCCTCATCCATCCACCCTTCCATCCCATCCCCCTCATCCCCCCCCCCCTCATCCATCCAAACTTCCATTCCTCCATCCCTCCCCCTCCCCCCCCCTCCATCCCCCCCCCTCATCCCTCCAAACCCATTCCTCATCCCTCCCCCTCATCCATCCACCATTCCCCCCCCCCCCTCATCCCTCCCCCCTCATCCATCCAAACTTCCATTCCTCATCCCTCCCCCCCCCCATCCCTCCACACTTCCATTCCTCCATCCCTCCCCCCCTCATCCATCTCCAAACTTCCATTCCTCCATCCCTCCCCCCTCATCTCTCCACCCTCCCCTCATCCATCATCCCCCCCTTCCATTCCCCTCATCCCTCCCCCCTCATCCATCCAAACTTCCATTCCTCCATCCCTCCCCCCCATCAAACTCCATCCACCCCCCCTCATCCATCCATTCTTCTCCATCTTTGCACTCCCTACAACCTCACAAACACCCCCTTTCCTCTCTCTGATCACAATCTCATCACCTTCACAGTCTCTCATCTTCAAACACTTATCCCTCCAAGCAGCCAACAATTACCTGCAGAAACCTTCACAACTTGAACCCGGCTCCTTTCCACTCTGCAACTGACCAACTCTATGACAGAATCTCTCCCCTGTCCTGCCCTGACCTGGCCACTGCTGTCTACAACAGTTCACTGTCATCCACACTGGACTCACTTACTCCTTTAAAAACACGAAGCATCAGGCCCCGACCATTACATCCGTGGCAGACTGACCACACCGGACATCATAAATTACATAGTTGTGCGCTGGAGCAATTGTGGCGTAAAACCAAATCCCAGCAAGCATTCACCCCGATATAAATCTGCTTTCTTCACATACAATTCCTCCCTCCATGCTGCCAAACAAGACGACTTTGTCACTCTCATCAATACCTTGTCATCCAGTCCTCGTCCTCTCTTCTCTACTTTCTCCACCTCCACCCAGCACCTCACTCACCTCCACCACTCCACCCAGCACCTCACCTCTCACCTCCACCCAGCACCTCACTCACCTCCACCCAGCACCTCACTCACCTCCACCCAGCACCTCCTCACCTCCACCACCCCAGCAGCTCACTCACCACCACCTCCACCCAGCACCTCACTCACCTCCACCTCCATCCAGCACCTCCACCTCCACCCAGCAGCTCACTCCCACCTCCACCTCCTCACCAGCACCCACCTCACCTCCACCCAGCACCTCACTCACCTCCACCCAGCACCTCACTCACCTCCACCTCCACCCAGCACCTCACTCACCCAGCCTCCACCTCCACCCAGCACCTCACTCACCTCCACTCCAGCACCTCAGCACACCTCCACCCAGCAGCTTACTCACTGCCCAGAAGATTGCAAATTATTTCAAACCCAAGATTGACACCTTACAGTCTGGCTTTCACTCCACTGACATCGCCCTACCTAAAACTCACTAACCCAGCATCACTAACTCCTCCAAAACCAGCATCCACTACTCCGTACTCATCCCAACCAATGGCCGCTACTCCGTAGTCCTCCTCCTCAACCAATGACCACTACTCCCACTCCTCCCCAACCCAATGGCCACTACTCCGTACTCCTCCCAACCAATGACCACTACTCCGTACTCCACCCAACCAATGCACCTCCACTACTCCGTCCACTCTCCCAACCAACTCACCACTACTCCGTACTCCTCTCCAACCCAATGGCCACTACTCCGTACTCCTCCCAACCAATGGCCCTACTAAAAACTCCTAATACTCCTCCCAAAACCAATGGCCACTACTCCGTACTCCTCCCAACCAATGGCCACTACTCCGTACTCATCCCAACCAATGGCCCACTACTCCGTACTCATCCCAAACCAATGGCCACTACTCCGTACTCCTCCCAACCAATGGCCACTACTCCGTACTCCTCCCAACCAATGGCCACTACTCCGTACTCCTCCCAACCAATGGCCGCTACTCCGTACTCCTCCCAACCAATGGCCACTACTCCGTACTCATCCCACCAATGGCCACTACTCCGTACTCATCCCAACCAATGGCCACTACTCCGTACTCATCCCAACCAATGGCCACTACTACTCGTACTCCCCAACCAATGGCCACTACTCCGTACTCATCCCAACCAATGGCCACTACTCCGTACTCCTCCCAACCAATGGCCACTACTCCGTACTCATCCCAACCAATGGCCACTACTCCGTACTCATCCCAACCAATGGCCACTACTCCGTACTCATCCCAACCAATGGCCGCTACTACCCGTACTCCTCCCAACCAATGGCCACTACTCCGTACTCATCCCAACCAATGGCCACTACTCCGTACTCATCCCCAACCAATGGCCGCTACTCCGTACTCCTCCCAACCAATGGCCACTACTCCGTACTCATCCCAACCAATGGCCACTACTCCGTACTCATCCCAACCAATGGCCACTACTCCGTACTCATCCCAACCAATGGCCACTACTCCGTACTCATCCCAACCAATGGCCAATACTACCTCCCAACCAATGGCCACTACTCCGTACTCATCCCAACCAATGGCCACTACTCCGTACTCATCCCAACCAATGGCCACTACTCCGTACTCCTCCCAACCAATGGCCACTACTCCGTACTCATCCCAACCAATGGCCACTACTCCGTACTCATCCCAACCAATGGCCACTACTCCGTACTCCTCCCAACCAATGGCCACTACTCCGTACTCATCCCAACCAATGGCCACTACTACTCCGTACTCATCCCAACCAATGGCCACTACTCCGTACTCATCCCAACCAATGGCCACTACTCCGTACTCATCCCAACCAATGGCCACTACTCCGTACTCCTCCCAACCAATGGCCACTACTCCGTACTCCTCCCAACCAATGGCCACTACTCCGTACTCCTCCCAAACCAATGGCCACTACTCCGTACTCATCCCAACCAATGGCCACTACTCCGTACTCGTACTCCTCCCAACCAATGGCCACTACTCTGTACTCATCCCAACCAATGGCCGCTACTCCGTACTCCTCCCAACCAATGGCCACTACTCCGTACTCATCCCAACCAATGGCCACTACTCCGTACTCATCCCAACCAATGGCCACTACTCCGTACTCATCCCCAACCAATGGCCACTACTCCGTACTCCTCCCAACCAATGGCCACTACTCCGTACTCCTCCCAACCAATGGCCACTACTCCGTACTCCTCCCAACCAATGGCCACTACTCCGTACTCATCTCAACCAATGGCCACTACTCCGTACTCCTCCCAACCAATGGCCACTACTCCGTACTCATCCCAACCAATGGCCACTACTCCGTACTCCTCCCAACCAATGGCCACTACTCCGTACTCATCCCAACCAATGGCCACTACTCCGTACTCATCCCAACCAATGGCCACTACTCCGTACTCCTCCCAACCAATGGCCACTACTCCGTACTCATCCCAACCAATGGCCTCTACTCTCCGTACTCATCCCAACCAATGGCCACTACTCCGTACTCCTCCCAACCAATGGCCACTACTCCGTACTCCTCCCAACCAATGGCCACTACTCCGTACTCATCCCAACCAATGGCAACTACTCCGTACTCCTCCCAACCAATGGCCACTACTCCGTACTCATCCCAACCAATGGCCACTACTCCGTACTCATCCCAACCAATGGCCACTACTCCGTACTCATCCCAACCAATGGCCAACTACTCCGTACTCCTCCCAACCAATGGCCACTACTCCGTACTCATCCCAACCAATGGCCACTACTCCGTACTCCTCCCAACCAATGGCCACTACTCCGTACTCATCCCAACCAATGGCCACTACTCCGTACTCCTCCCAACCAATGGCCACTACTCCGTACTCCTCCCAACCAATGGCCACTACTCCGTACTCATCCCAACCAATGGCCACTACTCCGTACTCATCCCAACCAATGGCCACTACTCCGTACTCATCCCAACCAATGGCCACTACTCCGTACTCCTCCCAACCAATGGCCACTACTCCGTACTCATCCCAACCAATGGCCGCTACTCCGTACTCATCCCAACCAATGGCCACTACTCCGTACTCATCCCAACCAATGGCCACTACTCCGTACTCATCCCAACCAATGGCCACTACTCCGTACTCATCCCAACCAATGGCCACTACTCCGTACTCATCCCAACCAATGGCCACTACTCCGTACTCATCCCAACCAATGGCCACTACTCCGTACTCATCCCAACCAATGGCCACTACTCCGTACTCATCCCAACCAATGGCCACTACTCCGTACTCATCCCAACCAATGGCCACTACTCCGTACTCATCCCAACCAATGGCCACTACTCCGTACTCCTCCCAACCAATGGCCGCTACTCCGTACTCATCCCAACCAATGGCCACTACTCTGTACTCATCCCAACCAATGGCCGCTACTCTGTACTCATCCCAACCAATGGCCGCTACTCCGTACTCATCCCAACCAATGGCCACTACTCTGTACTCATCCCAACCAATGGCCACTACTCCGTACTCATCCCAACCAATGGCCGCTACTCCATACTCATCTCCAGAACAGTGTTCCCTATCAGAGGGATTCCCCTCCACTCCAGACCTGTTGTGGATTTCCTATAACCTTCTGTTTTGACATCGGTCACTAGAATAAATAGGGGGGGGGGGGATCTTCCTAGAGGGGACAATGACAGCATTAAAAACACTCCATCCAAAGGAAAAAAAAACTTTTTTTTCCCTTTATTTTTTTCTTTTTTTTTTTTTTAAATGTATTATTTTTATATGTCAAATACTACTGATATGTTATAACTTGTACTGTAATAATAGTAATAATATGAAAATAATATAATATTACTAAATGTCGTATATGTCAAATATTACTAAAATAATTATAAATTAATAATAGTCATTGCATTTATTATTATTATTATTATTATTATGTAGTATTTGTATTTACTAAAATACCACTTAGAAATGATCATTACATTTATACAAGATTTGTGTTACGGGACGCTGTTTTTATTATGCTGTATCTGTACTACAAACCCCCCCCCCCCCCAGCGATTCTCCATATACAGCTGGATATTTGGGCAAAAAAAGAAATGATTATATGATTCCACCCACTGCCTAAAATGATTAATTTTTTTTAATTTTGAATATATATATATTCACACCCGGTATTTGCACTTTGTGTTATATACAGAAATATTCTTTTATTTTTCTGTTTTTAGGAAGCTTTCAGACCCGATAAATGCTGATCCTATCCAGACCATCCATCCCAGGGCGGCCGGCCGGCCGGCGGGTGTGGGGGGGGGGGGGGGGGTGGAGGCCGGCGGGTGTGGGGGCTGCCGGGGACATCGCAGCTCCGGGGGGACAACCCAGAGATGGATGACAATCCGGGGAAATCCTCCAATATTCCGGGAATCCATCCGCTCCGCTCCGGACACCGCCGTCCGCGTCCGCTCCGCGCCATCAATTCTGCCGCCAACAGTCCACAAGGGACACGACTCGTAGTCCAAGCGTCAGCTACACACCGACAACCGGGACACCGAGACCCACCAATATATTATTATTGTGTATTACATTTTATATCATTTATCGGTATTATTAGATTTATTGCATTTTATATCATTTATCGGTATTATTAGATTTATTACATTTTATATCATTTATTGGTATTATTAGAATTATTGCATTTTATATCATTTATTGGTATTATTAGAATTATTACATTTTATATCATTTATTGGTATTATTAATTATTACATTTTATATCATTTATTGGTATTATTAGAATTATTGCATTTTATATCATTTATTGGTATTATTAGAATTATTGCATTTTATATCATTTATCGGTATTATTAGAATTATTGCATTTTATATCATTTATTGGTATTATTAGAATTATTGCATTTTATATCATTTATCGGTATTATTAGAATTATTACATTTTATATCATTTATTGGTATTAGAATTATTGAATATCATTTATTGCATTATTGCATTTTATTATATTATCATTTATTGGTATTATTAGAATTATTGCATTTTATATCATTTATTGGTATTATTAGAATTATTGTATTTTATATCATTTTATCGGTATTATTAGAATTTTTGCATTTTATATCATTTATCGGTATTATTAGAATTTTTGCATTTTATATCATTTATTGGTATTATTAGATTTATTGCATTTTATATCATTATTGCATTTTATATCATTTATCGGTATTATTAGAATTATTGCATTTTATATCATTTATTGGTATTATTAGAATTATTGCATTTTATATCATTTATCGGTATTATTAGAATTATTGCATTTTATATCATTTATTGGTATTATTAGAATTATTGTATTTTATATCATTTATTGGTATTATTAGAATTATTACATTTTATATCATTTATCCGTATTATTAGAATTATTGCATTTTATATCATTTATTGGTATTATTAGAATTATTGCATTTTATATCATTTATTGGTATTATTAGAATTATTGCATTTTATATCATTTATTGGTATTATTAGAATTATTGCATTTTATATCATTTATTGGTATTATTAGAATTATTGCATTTTTAATATAAACTCTTCATCATCTTCTGCTTCTTCTTACATTCGAATACAAACTATTATTATTATTATTATTATTATTATTATTTATTATTATTATTATTGCACAAACTATATAAATCCTGTATAATAATAATATTATTGTTACTTTTTAATTTGAATTTTTCTTCTTTTCCTATTGCTATTATTTTTTTAATATTAATATTATTACCTTTTCATATAAATTCTTCTTCTTATTATTTTTATTACACTTAAATATAAACTGTTTTTTATTAATATAATTTTAATGTTTTATTACCTTTTAATATGGATGATTCTTATTATTACTAATATTATTACATTTGAATATAAACTAGTTTTACCTTTTTAGTTTTTACTACTATTTTTAATATGAATAATTCTTCTTATTATTATTATTACTACAATATTATTATTATATATGAATAAAAACTAGTGTTACCTTTTTAAAATTATTACTAATATTATTATTACATTTGAACATAAATTAGTGTTACCTTTTTAATTTTGTTAAATTATTTTTAATATACTTCTTCTTCTTATTGTATTATGAATAGTTTGAGATGATCCTTATAAAATGATACAAATTATAATTACAATATAAACTATCGGCTGTTGCTGACGTTTCCCAAGTTAATAAAATCCATATTTGCATAAAATGGGAATTTATAACGAGAAGGGATTTGCTACATTCCATTTTATATTTTGTAAGATCGATCCCGGCGATCATTCCTGAGGTCTTCCTGTGTTTTAGGAACAAACAATGAACTCATTGAACCAAGGTGACACTTCTATATTAATTATGAAGGATGGATGGTGGATGATGGATGGATGGTGGATGGATGGATGGATGGTGGATGATGGATGGTGGATGATGGATGGATGGTGGATGGATGGATGGATGGATGGTGGATGATGATGGATGGATGGATGATGGATGGATGGTGGATGATGGATGGGATGGATGATGGATGGATGGTGGATGATGGATGGATGGATGGATGGATGGTGGATGATGGTGGATGGATGGATGGATGGATGGATGGGATGGATGGATGATGGATGGATGGGATGGATGGTGGATGATGGATGGATGGTGGATGATGGGATGGGATGATGGATGATGGATGGATGGTGGATGGATGGTGGATGGATGGTGGATGATGGATGGTGGATGGATGGATGGTGGATGATGGATGGATGATGGATGGATAGTGGATGATGGATGGATGATGGATGGATGGTGGATGGATGGATGGTGGATGATGGATGGATGGTGGATGATGGATGGATAGAGGGATGATGGATGGATGGATGGTGGATGGATGGTGGATGATGGATGGATGGTGGATGGATGGATGGTGGCATGGAGATGGATGGATAGATGGTGGATGGTGGATGATGGAATGGTGGATGATGGATGGATGGTGGATGGAGGCCTTTGGTGGTGATAATGTTCATGGCGGATGTATCTTGTCCTTTCTGAGGCAAATTCTGGTAAATAATAATTGGCAGAGGTGGACAATATGTGGCAGAGGTGGTAGAGGTGGACAATACATGGCAGAGGTGGACAATACATGGCAGAGGTGGACAATAATTGGCAGAGGTAGTAGAGGTGGACAATACATAATAGGTGGACAATAAGTGGCAGAGGTGGTAGAGGTGGACAATACATGGCAGAGGTGGTAGAGGTGGACAATACATGGCAGAGGTGGACAATAAGTGGCAGAGGTGGTAGAGGTGGACAAATAAGTGGCAGAGGTGGTAGAGGTGGACAATACATGGCAGAGGTGGACAATAATTGGCAGAGGTAGTAGAGGTGGACAATAATGGCAGAGGTGGACAATAAGTGGCAGAGGTGGTAGAGGTGGACAATACATGGCAGAGGTGGACAATAAGTGGCAGAGGTAAGAGGTGGACAATACATGGCAGAGGTGGACAATAATTGGCAGAGTGGTAGTGGTGAGAGGTGGACAATAAGTGGCAGAAGTGGTAGAGGTGGACAATACATGGCAGAGGTGGACAATACATGGCAGAGGTGGTAGAGGTGGACAATACATGGGAGAGTGGACAATAAGTGGCAGAGGTGGTAGAGGTGGACAATACATGGCAGAGGTGGTAGAGGTGGACAATACATGGCAGAGGTGGACAATAAGTGGCAGAGGTGGTAGAGGTGGACAATAAGTGGCAGAGGTGGACAATATGTGGCAGAGGTGGACAATACGTGGCAGAGGTGGTAGAGGTGGACAATACGTGGCAGAGGTGGTAGAGGTGGACAATACGTGGCAGAGGTGATAGAGGTGGACAATACGTGGCAGAGGTGATAGGGTGGACAATACGTGCAGAGGTGGTATTGGTGGACAGCCAGGTATTTGCAGTACGGGGAAGCTCCGCGTGGCTCACCTATACACACTGCAATGGCTGTTCTGTAGCACTCTCTCCTCTCCTCTGGGATCCGCCCGTCCTGAGCAGAGGAAAATGGGTTAATGTCAGGATACGCCTCTCGGTGGGGGCCTCTATTTGGTGAGGGGTCTGGACTCTGTCATTGCCAGGATGGAGCAGTGATAATGAGAGATGGAACTGGGATGGTCTGGTCCCATGCTGGGTGACAGGCTTTCCTCCTTCATCTTCTGACCATCCACCACCAAAGGACCAGACAAGGAGGGAGAAGCCTTGACCAGTCCTAGAGGAGAGGTACGTGACCTGGACCTGGCAGAAGAGAAGACAACCCGGCTGGACTTTCCCAGAGACACTCGGCTTCTTTCCCTTTTTCTGGGAGTATCAGTCAGGTATTGGGGAATGGAAGAGGGGCCTGGAGGGGAGACACTTCCCAGGAGGAGCAGAGGATGAGCTTTGGGGTGAAGAGGACATGAGATACCGGCTCCCCCCAATATTATATCACACGGATCTCCTGGCCGAGAGGTTACCTGAGCTCCACCTCCATAAACAAGCCGTCACCTGAACAGCGGATCTTTCACCTCACGGATATTCC